CCGCCGCCGCCGCCGCCTCCACCACCACCGGGGCCAGATGCCGCGGCCGCGAGCGACGTGACCAAGGCCAGCGGCGCGCTCTGCGCGGAGGCGGCTCGCGGAGGGTCCACCGCTAGCAAGGCGTCGATGCGGAAATTTTTGGATTTTTCCATCGGCTCGTTTGGGACTGACGATCAGGGCCCGGTGGTGGGTGCGCGGCCGTGTGCGGGCTCGTAGAGTCTGTGTGTGGCGGTGGCAAGCCCGGGTGCTTGGTATTGTATCGGGATTGTTTGCCAATAATCAAAGTCGCTGCCGGAAACTCAGCCCCGGGAGACCATGGTCCGGGCGCCTCCTCCGTGCGGGCCCCGCCCCGGGCCGCGCTCGCGGGAGCTCACCCTCGCGCGCACAAACTCCCCCGCGAGGGCTCTCGCACGTCTGGGCCTGGGAGCCCGGCTCTCTGCGCCCCAGCCCTCAGCGACCGCGCCGAGGCCGCCGGCGCCGTGGTGGGGACCCGCGCCCCTCCGCGCACTTGAAGCTCAGCGCGCTCTCCCATTGGCGCGCGCGCGCGGGGCCCGGGGAGGGGCGCCGGCTCCACCATTGGCCGAGGGGCGCACCTGTCACCGTGCGCCGCCCGTCGCCCCGCCCCCGCACCGCGAGGTCCTAAACAGCTCAGGGTGTTGGGCCGGATGGCCTGGCGGGGACTGCGCCTGGGCTTGGGAGACTGAGCCGCAACCTAGGGTCCCTGCCCGGTCCTCCCGAGGGTGCTGAGCAGGGCGGCGGGCTCCGGCAACCCCTGGTCCCCTGGAGAGCCCCGCGGCTGCCCTAGTTCCACTCCCGAGACACCTTGTCGCGCTCAGGACTGGCGTTTCCTGGAGCCGGCAGTACGCGCCCTCTCCCGCCCGCTCATCGGCACTTGGGTCTGTCCACTTGTGCCTCGGGGCGCCCAGTCGTTTCACGCCGCGCCCAGACCTGGCTGCTCTGCCGAGTGACGGCAGCTCACTGAAAATCACTGTTTCCCGAGCCCTCTCTGCTCCTGGGTCTCAGGGTGCAGCAGGGGCGTTTTGTGTCCCTGTCGCCGGCGCTCTGAGGGTCGGGCTTTGCTGTTTGCGCTGGGACGTTCCCGCATTTCAGGTGTGGGGGGGCGGGCAGGGCGAGTGGTGCGCGCGAGCTTGAGTTTGGCTTCAGGATCCTCGCTGGAAGCCCCCGCCCGGCTCACGGGCAGAGCCTGCGCGCCCTCGGCCGCCTTGGCGACCTCACCAACGTGCCGTTGAGCGCGTCCTCGGCGACAAGCTCTTCCCCACTGCCGGGATGCCCGTGCACGTGCGAGCGTGGGGGGTGGAGGGAGAGGCAGTTTCTCCCCTGCTGCCACGTGCGTCCTGGGAAATGAGGAGGAAAGGGTTTCCCGACTGAGCGAGGCAGGTGCGGCTGCAGACCTCACTGCCCACCCCCCATACACACACTTCAAATATTTACAGTAAACACACTTCCAAGGGCTTTTTCGAAGCCCAAAGAATCCACACACAGGCCAGAAAGTCAGGCGGCCGCAGCAGCAGGCTTTGTGGACAGCTCCACTCAGCAGTCACCTTCGCGAGCAGCCTGCGAGGGAGGGAGCCTCAGGTCGCCAAGCCAGGGCTGCCCACGTGGGCCACACGGGAGTAAGGACGGGAAGGGGCTGTGGGAGGAGTAGGGGCCAAAGAGAAAATCAGTGCCAGGGAAACTTTAAAATTAGCAGCCAGGGTGCTACAAGGGGGGATTTTAAAGGTAAATCTAGGGACTGGGCAGTTTCTCTTCCAAAGCTCTCTTGCCTAGGTGAGGGCTGATGACAGGGATTTGTTGTGAGCCGTGTTTCTTCTTGGTTGTGACAGCACTGGCTGCAAGGGTAGGAGGGCAGCAGAGGGTAAGTTACAGCAGCTTGGAATGAATGTTACATAGCTCTGCAAAAGCCAAAAACTAGTAAGCAGAAATTACAGCATTTATACGGAATTCGTGTTGCCTTTATGTGGTATCTCTTTGGGATGATAAAAATGTAGTCCTGCCTCTAACTGGGGAGAGGGAAACACTCCTCTTTCTTGAACACCTACTGTGTGCTACAAGCTTTCCAGAATTATCTTCCTTAATCTTCACTGTGACACTCCAAGGAGGATCTTATTGCCATTTGCTAGACTACAGGTTCAAAGAGGGTGAGCCTCTTGTCCCCAGCAGACAGGAAGGCCCCAGAGCTGGGACTGAGACCAGGTCTGAATGCAGGGCCCACATAGTCCCACCCTGGTGTACCTAACCCTGAAGTCCTGCTCCCATCTGTTCCCTTGGGGGAAGGGGCTTTAGAGGGGAGGCCTGAGATGCTTGGCCACCTGTTCCCAGGGTGGGAAGCCAGGACCCGGGGCCTTGGGGTGGAGAGCAGTGCTGGCCCCGCCTCCTCCAGGGCTTTGGCTCTAAGGCTGACTTGCCTTCTCCTGCGTCTCATGCCCCCAGCCGCTGGTTCCGGTCGGTGGGTCCTGAGGGCAGTGACTTGGGAAGCTGGGGGAAGGGAGTGGCCACAAAAGGAATTTCCCAAGATGGGTCTCAGAGAACCTGCTGCCACTCTCTGACCTAAGATAAGCACTGCCAGGGTTATTTTAGTTGGTGTTGGGATGTATGGTCCAGACTCAGTAAAATCACCCCATCTTCCTCAACAAAATCGTTGCTTTTTGTGACTCTTAGAGAAATTCATTTCACCCCTTTTTGTTCTACAGCAACCATGCTCCCAAACCCCTCAACACCCACCTCCTGCTTCACTCTGCCTGGGACCAGCTGAGGGCAACCCCTGAGAATGCAGACGGGACAACAATGTGTGCAGCAGGTCCATTGGGTGGCAGCCCTCCCCCCAGTCTATAAGTCTGTACCGCCTGTGGGCTGAGCGAGGCTGTCCAAAGAGGACTCAGTGTGGGCAGCAGTGGGTCCTGGCCCTGCCACCCTCTAACTGCAGCTCGACTTCAGATGTCTAAAGCTCCTTGTCTTGGTGGATTTGTTTCCACCCCCTAGAGAAGTAGGGGTTGAACCAGATGGACTCTATAGTACTAAAGGGCTTTAAAATTATCACACATTCTGTGTATATTTAAGAATAAGTTCACACAAATTAGAGGTTCTCTGTAAAGTTGTACGGTAAGAGGCAGTGTTTGGGGAGAGAAAGGGCGCTCTCTGGGAAGTTGGGGGTCTTTGTGTGGTTTATGATGTGTGAACGGAGCATGCTGGGTCTCTTCCTGTTCCCAGTGTCTGTGTTGACCCAGCCCAGCTGGCTTTGGGGCGGACAGGAGCTGGGCTTGGGTCTGGGAACCAGGCAGGGAGAGATCAAAGGTCTGATCCCAGCGGTCCTCCCAGCCCTGGGTCTCCAGGTAACTCCTCTCTCCGGCAGCCCCGGGGCAGGATCCAGCCCTGGGCTAGCAGGGGGAACCCTTGGTTTCCCAAGAAAAGCAGCGAGGGCCTGGTGCGCCTGGTGAGGATTGGGAATAAAACCTACATATTCACATATTCACAAAATGAAAGGCAGGCATCATTCATTTATTTATCATTTATATCTTGCTTTCTTCCATGTGAAACAGGACAGGTACAACAGAAGGTGTAACACGAAGGTGAACTCGTGAGGGCATTGGTTGGCTGAAGCCCAGGGTGGAAGAAGGCCTTTCCCTGGCATAGCCCTCTGCGTGCGCCTCCCACTTTTCCTGGAACTGCAACCCAGGGCCAACAGACAGGACCTCACTTCAGAGGGGCCCATGCAAATTAGTAGCCGCCCTACTGAAACCACACACCACTCAGCAATGTGACCTTTCGAGGTTTCCTTCAGGAAACTGAGGCATGAGGATGCTGTGTGACTGGCCAGAGGTCAGGACATAAGCAGGTGGTGACAATGGGACTTGCCCCTGGCTTAGGTACTAGCTTGGTTAGGCCACCTGGTTGGCGATGCTCCAGCCTCCTTCCTGGCTTGTCAAAGCCACCCTGGGGACCAGTACACCAGCCTGGGGACGCAGAAGAGGACCTGGGGTCATTGGAAGGCAAGCTGGGCAGGGTCTGCTTGCCCCGCCCCTGCAGAGCCCCAAGGGCCAAAGGTATGCAGTAGTTAGCACCTGTCCTTTGATCTGCTGCTCTCCTCTCTGACCCCAGCAGCTTGGCCTTTAAAGGAGTCTGGAAAGGGTGGGAGTCAGGAGGTAGCAACTCTGAAACCCGCCCCCCTCAGCAAACCCTGAGGTGGAGGTGGGTTCTGTCTGCCAGTTCGCTGTGTCTTCCTGTGGGCCCCTCTTCTCAGCCCCTCCTTGTACACCTGGATTACGTGTGTTGCCCTTTGGAGGGCATGGTCACCCCGACTCTACCAGCGTGGCACCACCGGGCAAGCTGGGAACAAAAGCTGACCCCCCAGGCCATCCCAGTGGGTGCCACTTGTCTGTGCCTCTCCATCAGGCCCAGCCCAAACTGGGGGCTTGGTAAGAAGTTAGGAAGATGCTGCAACATATAAATTTGTAAAAATCCAGCAACCCTTGGCCCTTCTATTTTTGGAAATTTCCTCCAGATACAAAAATATCTGCTTCATGCCCAGACTTTGGGCAGACTCCCAGCTTCCCAAGACACTGAAGGGAAGGAATGGGCCTGGCCACCCAGGGCTCAGCCAGCTGGCCCCGGGGTTCTTCCTGACCCAGGGAACCAAAGCCTTCCCAACCTCTTCTGTTGCATGAATTCCAAGCTCCTGGGTCATAAAGAGAACCAAACCCCGGGAGGAGAAAGGGAAGCTCATTTGAGCCCCTTTAATCACGTTGGGCAACAACCCTCGTTAGAAATGAAAGACTTCTCTGAGAAACGTATATTTCTGCTACAAAATTTTAATTTTATACTTTCACACAGGGCCTTCTGCATACTACCGTGAGGAACAAGGTCAATAACAAATATATGCAGGAAGTGCGCTTTTTCAGAATGCTGCAACCTACATTACCCTTCTCCAAATGAATACCAGCATCCAACCGAGGTGTTCTGTGAGTCTTGCAAAGAGGGGATTTATACTGAAAGACTGAGAGCAATGCGTTGCCCAGTCCCGTGTGATGTGTTTAGAAATCGAAGACTCGCTTTCTAAAGGCTCCACGTGGGCGTTCATGCAGCATGTGCCAGAGGCGCCTGGGCACACCTTTCTAGCCCACCTGTCCACCCACCT